ATTTATCATCATTTTATTTACCTACATTTAGAAGATAGTTGTATTACAATATAGATACTGCCAGAAAAGTATACTTGATTTGAATAAAATATAAGGGGAAAGTTATCTGGTATCCTCTTGTGGGCACGGTTGTTTATGAAACTAAAAAAAATTAAAAATAACACTGCTTGATGTTTTTGTATCTAAAATCTTTGAAATAATAAATTACGAAGAATAAAAATTGTCCACTGAATAGTTTTAAAAGTAAAATTATCTTATTGTTTTTTTATAGATATTTTATAAGTTAAAATAGTAAATTATATATAATACACTATTTCATATCATTAAGCTGCCTTCCTCATACTAGTTCCTGATATTAAAGTTATCTACCGTATTCCCCGTACAGAAATCATAAGATGATATTTGTTTTGTGATCCAAATTGGTTTTATTTATATTTTACTTAATTTCTAACGGTTCCAAAACATTTTTTAAATTTAGACACAGAAAAGTATTATATTTGATTAATTTTGGATTCACAATGCCTTAAATAAAATATAAAAGTATTTTGTAAAGTCTATAATATTAATCGTACCTTTATGTCACCAGTTACTTTAATCTTTATAAAAATGTATCCCTATTTCCCTTGGTCACGCCATCACACGTAAACGGCTGGATCACGAAATCGATCCTTTTTTTCTTTCTTTTTTATTGTATTTGTTTTTGTCAAAAAAATAAGAAAAGAAAGATAATAAAATAAGAAACTCGTGTGTAAAATTTAAGAATATTTAACCACCATATAAAGTAATTTCTAATCTAACCTTAGTGTTTTGGTTAATACAAACTTTTTTAATCAAACGTCATAATGTAACCTTATGACGTTTGATATAGAATTGACAGGACGCGTGCTGCAAATATCGTCAAATATGATATAAAAAAACTGAATATCGTTTAAAACTGATGCTTCAGTCGGAGTTTATTTATCCAATTCGAATTCAAAATTCATATTTAAGACAGGACAACGTCTGTTGGGTCAGCTAGTAATGCTGTTACATCTATATGTACTCGAATTTTCCCATGTCGTATAATCTTACTAAGTAACACGGATTTTATATAAATCTGGTTATGGACTTAGCCACTACACCATAGTTAACCTTTTTACGGGAATTGGATCCACTTTGGGGGTGCGTGCCATCTCGTTTTGGGCTGAAAAATTTTTCATCAAAAATAAGCAAGGTAATAGATAGATCGATTAATTCTAAACTAATTTTATCTCCCTAAATATTTTAAAAGGTAATGTTATGAGACTTATTTGCAAAATTAAAGTTTGAATTACTCTTTATTTTAACCGACTTTAAATTCACAGATTTTTCGAGTTAATAAGTGGACTTTTTTAAATAATTCTCAATTTACGTGTCTTAATTCAGCTTTCTCGTGATTGTAGCGTTTTGCTCAAGTCGGTGAAACAACATTAAATGAACGATATAAATTAGAAAAGAAGGGAAGTAAGCTATTATTAAAATTAAACTACCTTTAAAGATGTTAGGAAGCTGAGCCGTTACGGCCAGCTTAAGCTACATTATTAGATATTAACGATGATATATTTTCATAAGGGGCTTCTGAAGTAGAACAGTTGTTGCTTAGAAATTGGCCAATAATATTTGAGCTTTCATTATAATATATTATAATGATATGAAGGTGCAATTAAGTAACATTTAAGTATTGTAGTGCTAGATCAAACTTATTAAGTTAAAATATTTATAAAATAAATAAACACAGTGAAACATTTACAACACGTTTTATTAAGAACGAACGAAAAAGATAACATGTCATATTGGTTGATCATACTCACAGACTAATACTAAGATAAATAAAATACTTAGTAGTTTAAAGATGAGTACACATTATCAATAAATAAATTGGCAAGTACTCATTAAGGCCTTTAATTTGATATTCATATTTCTATAATTGAAGAGAAAAAGAAATGTAAATTATGGTGGCACACATCTGCCTTATTATACATTAGTTGTTTTCTTGCGACTTTACTGGTGTAAAATATAGCATATATCACCCGCATATGGTGTAGCTTTCTGTGAGAAAAATTTCACGATCAAATCAGTATTTCACCCCCTAGTAACAAATAATATAACAAAGTTAGACAATACCTCTTTCTTCTTTCCCTTTTACATCCCCACTGCAGGGGTTTAGGCCTCCCTTGGGTCTCGACTGCAGATACAGTCGTGATCAACGGCTTAACGTGCATTGAGAAATTTTTGGTCACCCTTGCGAAAGTTGCTTACCAACAGTGATAGGTCAAGGTGCTTATCCACTTTGCCACTGAGCTACTCTCTTCACTATCACTTCTCTTTACTTTATGGAAAATGGACCATATACCAGTGCGGATGGGTCGGTGTTAAAGAATGCAAATGCAGCCGGGACCAACGGCTTAACGTGCCCAACGAAGCACAGAGGAGTTTGAGATAGTAATTTTTTGGTTACCCAAAGTTGCTTTAACTCTTTTTAATATTTATATAACTTAAAAAAATATTTTAAAAACATTTCGGGATGATGTAACGTTTCTAAAGATACCCATGGGGGTATCATGGGTTAAAGCTTAATCCGGATCTAATTGCCCTTTACTTTCGTGGAAATTCTGAGGTGCCCTTGTGCGATACCCCATACATTAAAATCCGTGGAGTTATATTAGAAGTTGAATAAATCCGTAAGTTGGTTATTATTCAAAATTTGCTTTATAAAAACTTTTAAAATATTTCCTTTTCATAAAAGACGAACAAATATCAACAGTGAATGGAAATCGATTTGTACTAATATTATATGTAGGACTGATTTGCTTGTTTATTTTCATCGAAGAGTCTCCGAAATTACTTCACCGATTTTAATTTTTATTTTACTTACGGGAAGCTACATCATACGCCGGTTACATAGGTTATAATTAATCTATCTACGAGTAAATATATGTATAACTCAAAGGTGACTGACTGACACAGTGATCTATCTACACACAGCCCAAACCACTAGACGGATCGGGCTAAAATTTGGCATGCAGGTAGATGCTATAACGTAGGCATCCGCTAAGAAAGGATTTTGATCAATTTTTCTCTCAAGGGGATAAAATAGGGGATGAAAGTTTGTATGAAACTTTGTCAATTTTGTCGGGCTGAGACTTTGCATGCATAAAGCTATTATGACGTAGGCATCCCCTAAGAAAGGATTTTGATAAACTTTATTTCAGGTATTTTTTATATATGTAATATATGTAACATAATGAATATATATTCGTTAGAAATGCTGCTCAAAATAACTTTACCACGCGGACGGAGTCGCGGGAAAAAGCTAGTATTAAAATAAAGTTGTACGCTGGTTTCAAGATGTCGCCATCACTGAGGTTCCCGGGTATGAGTCATAGTTGGGTCAATGTAAAAATATACATTAATTGCCATTTTTAAGGATAGTTAAAATTGTTACTAAGTATTGATGAGCGCTGGAGCCTGATATTCAGGTTTAGAATATAAACCTCAATCAGGCGCAGGAGCTACTCAATTGTTATATTGAGTTTAAAACCAATGTAATTTTTAAAAAATAAATATTATTATTATCTTATTTAATTAATTGTTTCTTTTGAATATTTCATTTTTTTAAATTAAAACCCTTAATTACTTTCTCTATAAATCAGCACTTTTAAATAAAAAAGTGAATTCAATTTATTTGTGTAAACAAATTATTTCGGTTCGTCTAATCGCCTTAGTGACATGTATAATTAATTCAATATATTTGTTTATAACAACCTTTGATTCGCATATAATTTCCTTACTAAAGGAATAATTGGAGCCGTCATTCAAAAGACATTGTCAATTAATCTCTCACCTATTTATTAAATTAATTGCTGTAGGCACAAGCCATCACGCGCTCACTCTCAAGCGGGTATTCATTATTTTTATGTTGTAAAGGATCTTTAGCACATAATAGAATCCAAGTGATATATTTATAAGGTTAATGTTTTGTTTTATAAAAAATATGCAAGTTATGTTTTGTCAAATATGATAAGTAATATTACTTAGATATTTCATTGGACACGTGAATTTAACTACTAATTCTGCCAATTTGGCACATCAGTTGATCTTAAGTGTAAATGACATTTAGATGTAAAGGTGTACCATTTAATAATATTATATTGAGGTATTACACATACCTCGCTACGCCCACTCGTCCTTTATATTCTTTGATGTCAAAAGTATATCGATTACAAAAGCTCGATTTAAGGGTCATATAACTGTTTACTTACGTTAAGCCGAATTATTATTTAGTAGGCACTTTAACAAATTTTAAGATTTGGTAGTTCTCAAGCTTAATATATTTGATCAATTCTACATTCACAATGATACATATCTTAAAGAAAAATGCTCAAAAAGTTCACCAGTCTCCTGTATACACGGTTGCATGGTTTACCGCGATATGTCAAATTTCGACACTGGATTTTGACACCTACCTTCAATGTATTAAGGATTATAATCGAGTGAGGATATATGAGAGTTTTATATAACTTGACGTGTTGACTGTACCTCGAGGTAGGAATGGTGAATTTTTTTAGCATCAAAACATGTTATTTATACTTATACTATTATAGTACTTAGTAGCTTGAAAATTTGTACGAATATTGAATTTTCACTGTGTAGGCGTCAGTGTGCATGCGACAACCCCCGTTTTCACACATAAAAGTCGCTCAAATCTATCGCTTAAATGTTTAGGAATTGCCAAAAGTGAAAATGCATTTCATAAATGACTAGGAACAACCTAGCGACATCAAGTCTAAATTTATTACATGTGTTATGCGGCGCTTTGCAATTGACATTTGTGTATTAAGACTAGTCACAAATGTGTCAATGGACGAAATAATAAATAGTTATTTGGAATTAAACTAATATGTTTAGACAACTCGAAAGATATGGCGTTTCCTTGTTTTATGTTAGTGAAAACAGGTATGTCTTTAAATAAAAAGGAATACCTTATTTAATTGCTCGTCAGCTTTTGCCAGTATGACCTCGCAACCTTCACGGTGTGCAAATAGTTTCCTCGCTTGAACTTTCATGTGAAATGTTTTTTCTATAAGCGGTGTCACCACCACCCGCTCGAGAGATGTCGCTGTATTACTGTATCCCAACACGTCGGCTTCCACTTCTTGAAGGAATGTCTCCCAAGTGTGGAAAAGCGATGAAGGGCATGTAGCTCTGTGAAAGAAGTTTTGTGTTATTAAAGAAATTCATTGTGCTATTAGTTTCTGGCTGCGTTTAGGAATTTCTAAGGCAGTGAATTATTATTATTCGAAATTTTAAGGGGATTTGTAGTTTTATATGGACTTGTAGTTACTGCAACTTAAAAATATGTTCTGACTCGCCGCCAGAACTATAGTAACTTCTTCAGCCCGGTAGCAAAAAGGCTTATATCCGTAACTTTTATAGTATTTGAGCTGATTATGTGTCATCCCAGATGTATGCTAGACACTGTAAAAATATATTTTTTTTAATCTGTGAATTGGAACTTTATGTAAAAACGCAGATTGTAAAACATTACTTTGCTGCATATAGATGTTATAGGTAGCAACTTCATGTTAAGGTTTTAGAAAAATTGTAAAGCCATAAACACCCGTTTAAGTAATCATACAAACGCCTGTACAAGGAAATAAATGAATTTGACATTATCTTTTTAAGAAACAAAAATCGAAAACGATATTATGTGACATATCAAGTGAAAGGGATTATAGTGTACTCGTATAGGTTTATTCTACCGTAAAACTTCGTAATTATGGATTTAGAGAAAACTCATTGGATTTTATAGTCTCATATTTAAATGATAAAGCAGAAGGTTGATATCAATGGTAAAAGGTCACCTGGATCGAAAGTTAAGATGAGTGTGCCGCAGGGCTCAATACTTGGTCCTTTCTTGGTTTTAATTTCCTTAAATGACTTGCCTTATTTCGTAAAGGATAATCACGAAATATTTTTTTTGCAGATAACACTTCACTCTTGTTTAGAATTAAAAGTGACAATGTGAACAATTCTATCGCTAAAGTAGTGCGTTAATTTAATGTGCACAAGGAAAAAAAAGCCCATAATTTTTATTATCTCATGGTAAACAAGTAGATATAAATCTGAATACAAAAGATAAAAACATGGGCCTTGTGGATACTAACATCTTTTTAGGGATAACATAGAATCTAAACTTCAGTGGGGCCTACATATTGATAAATTGTTGAATAGACTTTGCTCTGCAGCATATGCCGTAATGAAGATACGTTGGTTAATTGATATAGATCATTTTTTAATCATTTTATAATAGAGAAAAATTTAAAGAAACATACATAATGATTATTGCTTCTCAAAACATATACGAGAACTTAATGTATGTCCGTAAAAATATTAGTCTGTTTTCTATAAAAAAATCATGTACACAATTTTAATACTAGAAATAAAAATAAATTAAATAAGACTAGACTGCAAAAAGTTAATAATCCATTCAGGGGTCTTTGTGTGCGCTTCTACAATAAGGTTCCAAGCAAATTACAACAATTAGATATAATGCAGTTTACATTTACTATTAAAAAATATTTATTAAGAAAGCTTATGCTATGTGATTATAGGTATTAATAGATAATAATGCTTTGACTTAAGATGTTCCAGCAACTGGGTAGGTCATTTCTTGAAAACTCATTATATCTCAAAATTATCTTGTTGCTATTATTATGTTATCATTATAAGATCATAGTTCTTTTTCTCTATTTATAATGTATTGATTTGGTAATAATGTGGTTTTGTGAATGTCGCTACTCCTATTAGAGCTGGTGAGTTTCTTGCTCGTTCTTTTTATCAACCAAAAGACATCCTGAACGAGTGGTAAGGAAAAATGTTGGACGATACAAAAGTATTTTTTAAGAAGTCTTTTTAAATAAAAATAATTTTGACTTTGAGTTTTGAAGGAATTAAACAAATTATATGAAAATATTTTAAAAAATAATAATAAAACCGACTTCAAGTTTTAAAAAAGTTATAAATATTATATGAGCGACTTATTAAAGAAAATTTTACTGAAGTCGAGCGAAAATTTTTAAATATAGTAAAATGACAAAACAATATCTATATAAATCAAAATATTTTGTTTATTCGCTCGACATAATTTTTTCCAATAATCTATGTTCATATTATGTATAAAGTAGAAAGATTTGGTTGCTTGTCTGTTTGCATTGAATAGGCTCGGAAATTATTGGACTGATATATGTCTTTCATCTACAGGAAACTACATAATACGCAGGGGATATAGGCTATCATTTACGCAAGCGAGGTCACGGGGAAATAGCTACTTTGATAGGAAAAAGAGTTAAATATATTTTATAACGATAATTATTGCCAGAGAATAAAGTGTATATAAATATTTTTAAATATAAGTTCGTTTTCGTCTTGAAAATAATTATTAAAAAGTACAAAAAATGCGGTAACTTCGAAGTATTCGAACGCCATTAAAGCGGTCCTGACTAAAATGTACATGTATGAGGATATCGTTGTTACAAAAAATCGATGCAATACCATCAATGTATATATTATGTCGCAAAATAAACGACAGATTACAGTTTAAATTATGTTTTAGACTTCCATTTTCATTTCACCAATTCGGTAAACTATATGATTATTTAAATAGTCCATTATACTTTAAAAAATCGGTTTGGTTAACCGAATAATCAATCTGTCAAAAACCATATTGATTTAAATTGGCATATCTCTGATGTGTACTTTGACATAATTTAATTTATCGATATTATATTTTAGTAAATGGTTTAAAATATATTATAAATTAAATTAAATACTATCTGTTTCGTAGTTTTTTTTTAAATAGATCATAAAGTAACTTAAAGTAATATTATCTATTCATAACTTTTAACACAAATTTTATGGATCCCAGAAACGTAGTGTTTAATTTCTCTTTGGATCCCAATTATCGCCGTAATCCATTAAAACTTATATTAGATAATATATTTATAATACCTACCGATGAACATATTTCGAGACCGTTGAGATCGTTCACATATCTACGTTCTCTTTCGTATTTGTAAAAGGTATAGCAGAACTTTTAATGTTTTCGTTCGTTGATCAATAAATTTAATTATGGTTCAAGAATATTTTGGAGCAATTCGCTAAATAGGAGTTTTAATTCTTAAACCGTTATTCTGTAGTATCATTCATTTATATTCATTATCCGTCCTTCATTCGTTTATAGGTACTAATAATTTAAGAAAATCTAAATTCCAGTATATACAATGTGAAATAAACTCTAACGCAATGGAAATAATACTCGGTATTCTATAAAGGCATCAGAATTGCACTTCGTTCTGTCATTGGAACGAGCTTACTGCGCGTAATAATCAGTTAGAAATCGAAGACGAGAGTATATTAAGACAGCGAGGAATATTAAGTCATTATGAACTGCATAGTGAACGTCTGAAGTATTCTAACGTTCACTTTGCAGTTCATAATGACTTAATTATTAATTTAAAAGGCATTAAGTTCTACATTAGGTTTATAAATATTTTATGTAAAATCCGGATGTTCTGTAATATTAATTAATATAGAGAATATAAAATTCAGATTTGAAGTGGCAAATTGAGAAAAAGTTATCAAAATATTATGAAAACAAATCATTAGTTTTTGTTTCATTTAACATCCACTGGTTGTTAACCCGTCTTTTAAAACTAACATTGTAAAAAGTAGGTTACAGTATACATTGTTGTTTGTAGATCACATTGAAAGTCTCACGTAATTCTTGCCGCTAAAACATTTTTAACGATTTTAGGTTATCGATATAAACCTAACGACTGGAATTAGTTTATTGCGACCTAATAATTATCAAGTTACTAAACACATTTGTTACAATTAAAAAAGATGACGCCGATCATCGGTGAATGCAAATAAAACTTCAACTTCTTTTCTTCTTCCATGTCATTTTATTTGAAAATGTTTTACAAGCCTCATACACTCATAAGTAGAGTGTAGGTATTTTATAGAGATATAACTTCATTGATTTATGTGTCATAATTATCTTTCTTCAATGCTGCTACTGTTAGAAGCTTTCCTTATGATGAGAAAAATATTCAGAAGTCACACTATACGTGCCCAGTTTGAATTGGATGATGACTGTAGGTACAGACAGTTGAATGGTGTTCCAAAGAATATAAGACAAAAAAAATTAGGTGTTCCGTCAAAAACTGTACCTTCCAAAAGTTGCTTGACATTTGAAATAGCAGACCAAACATGTTAGCTATTGCACCATCAATTTTCTTCTTTATGTCTATATAATAATTTACGTTTATCAAAAACTTTTTTTTTCCCAATAAACGAGAAGATACTTCTTTAGTATTAAGTAGTTATATATCCAGTTGGTGGTAAGCTCATCATTGGTGTGATAAATAAAATGAAATTGCTTTGCTTCATAGTCCACATGACACAAATAGGCTGTTCTGGCACCGATTAAATTAAGCGCCATTTCACTCGCGCCGCGTCCATAAAATGAAATATCAATAAAGTTGAAAGCTTTCGCTTAACAATCCAACCTCACCACTACAATATAGTCTATAGTTTATTTTGAATATTATAACTTTATATAATAACCTTTGATTTGTAGCAGTTAAACTTTGTTCATATTTGCTGGAGTATAACAGTTTTTTAAATCCATATTTCTGTGTAAAAATAATAATAATTATTATATTATTATTATTATATCGTTTCACATTAGGCAGTAAAAGGTTCACTTTTTATGAGGCCCGTTTTCACTAAACTTAGGAGTCGCTTAAATATTTATTAATCGCGTAATGTGAAAATGCATTGCACCAATGACAAGGAACGTTATGACGTGCATTATGTGGTGCTTTGCACTAGTCATTTGCGTAATATGGTCAGGTCACAAATGTGTTAAGAGATAATAGAAAAAATGTTTATTTGGAATTCAACTAATTTGCTCATTAGATTCGTAACATTAAGTGTTTCCTAGTTAAGCTTTGTTTTGTTCTAGGTTAGTGAAAACGGTCGTAAATGTTGTTAGGCGAACCAAAATACATTTGAATTACAATCTTATGTTTCTTTCCTACTGTTCAGTTAACTGCAGGATTGCAATAGAAAAATATTATGTTGTGGGCTTTTTAGGGTAAGACTACTAGAGATTTTAAGCTCTAATTTCGCTTAAAACT